GTGTGTATTTGTACTAAGGCTTAAGTGAAGTGCAAACCATGTACATACATATATTTCATCTGTGTATTTTGCTGACTTAAGTATATTTATGAATCAGGAAAAAAATTAAATAAAAATTCAATATTTGAAAAATTTTTCAAAAAGTAAGAATACATAGAAATCAGCATACACTAAGAAAAAGTTCATTTAAATAAAGTTTGACAGCCAGTGGATATATAATATGAAAATTGCCACATCGAAATTCCAAAATTTAAGCAAGACGCAGATTTATTTCATAATTTTTAACACGAAATATGAACCAAATTACTTTTCATAAAAAAAGTATTGCAATACTAGTCAATAATAAATTGGCGATATGGCAACCTTACGATCATACGTTGCAGTGAAAGCTTATACATATGAGCCTACATACACACATACGAGTATACGCTACTAAACTGCAAAGCTTGCAAGATTTCCACGCTCTTTCGCCAGTTGTAAGAATGTTGAATATATGAGAGTGTCTAGTACTTGTCGAGTTTTTGTTAGGAGTTCATGTAACATTTATTCATTTTCATGCGCCTCCACCGTTAGCGTAGTGCGAAGCTTTTGAAAATACATAAAAGAAAAGCAACGTTGTTTGCATTTTCTTTTGACTTTAGAAATTTGGTGTGTGTGGGAGTTTGTTTTGGATTCCTTTCCGTATTGTTACAAATTTACATAAATATTTGTTTGTTCATCCGACTTGGTTGCATGAACTCTTCGACAACGCTACGCATGTCATGTTGTTGCATATATTAATCGCCATATAGAGATGATATTTGTTTTCAAGATAAAGGCTGTATGGAATTTGAGTAATTTTTTTATGAATCTTTCTTTATGCGAACTAAGCGAAAATGAAGATAACAATAATGCGCAGATACTGAAATAATGATAATGTAAAATCAAATATGCAGTTGTTTTGTACACACATATACAAATTAATTTTGAAATTTAATATTGAACTCGTGCATGCTGGGTGAAAAATATGCTTCTTAAAATTAAGTAGAACAGGAGTATAAGTGCTTCACAAAGCGCTAGCAGACAATGCCAATATGTTAATTGTATCGGAGAAAAGTAGATGGAAGCACTGAGAAAGTGGCAAAGTACTTTGATAATTAAGTGAAATATGATAACTTCTATTTAGTTGTCAAAATATTTGTTTATAGGCGCTTCGTATAGTTCAATGTTTGCCGTGATACATAAATATTTAATTAAATAAAATTATATCCATTGATTAGTTTTCATTTATTTTGTTTTCTTTTATTTTACTTAGCAAAGCTTAAGAAAACTTTATTTCATTTTTTTGCTTTTTATTTTTAATTAATTAAAAAAAAATTTTTTGTTTGGCTTTATTTAAATTTTTTATTTTACTTTATTTTAGTTTCCTTTTTATTTTAATTTTTTTAATTATAGTTTATAACATAAATTCAATTATTTTTCAATTTAATTTTTTACTATACTTTAATTTAGTTCTTTTTCTCTTATTTTGTTCTATTTGATTAATCTATTTATTTCAATTTCTCTTATTACTTAATTTTCATTTTTTATTCATTTCATTTTTATTTTCTTTAATTTAACTTAACTTATTTAACTTTACCTAATTTATATTTTTTTCGATTTTAGATTTTCTTTTATTTAAATTTATTTTAGCTAAGTATATTTATTTTAATTAATTGTGTTTATTTTTATTTTGAAAAACTTAATTAAATTTAGTTTAGTTCATTAACCCTTATTCATTCCGTTTAATTTGTTTTATTAAGTTCTATTTAATTTATTCTATTTTAATTTATTTTATTTTTTTTTTACTTTTCTTTATTTTATTTTATTTTACTTTATTTTATTTTATTTTATTTTACTTTATTTAATTTAATTTAATTTAATTCAATTTAATTTAATTTAATTTTATATTATTTTATATTATTTTATTTTATTTTATTTTATTTTATTTTATTTTATTTTATTTTATTTTATTTTATTTTATTTTATTTTATTTTATTTTATTTTATTTTATTTTGCTTTATTTTATTTTATTTTATTTAATTTTATTTTATTTTATTTTATTTTATTTTATTTTATTTTGCTTTATTTTATTTTATTTTATATTATTTTAATTTATTTTTATTTTATTTTATTTATTTTTTTCAATTTGATTTTATTTTACTCGATTTCATTCAATTTAGTTTATTTTTTATTTTGTTTCATTTAATTTATTTCATTTTTTCGGTTTTCTTCTTTTAATATAATTTAATTAAATTTTTTTTAATTATATTAATATTAATTATTTCTTTTATTTGTATTTAATTTCCATGCGGCGGTTAACTGAAATACTCGTAAGATCGGTCAGCTTAAGACCTTATAATAGGGAATCCGTTAATTTTCTTTAATTTTTCACTTCTATTAAACTTATTATATTGTATTTTGGTGGTTAAACGTTCTATCAACAAATATGCGTATTCTTTGCACCTACCTTATTTGTAGACTTTACCATGTTACAACATCATTGCGGCGATTCAATCGAAAATATTACTGCTTTATTTTTTAAATTTAATTAATAATATAAATGTGGTTATATATAAATGGGCAAACAGACAACATACCTGGAAAGAGTAAAATGAAAATTTTTAATTAGTGGTGATGCTTTAATTTAATTAAATTTAAATAAATTATTTTCGAAAACAGTTTTTCAGAAATATTTAATATTTTTTAACACACATACATATATATATGTATATATATACATATATACAATATAAATGAATAAATTTCAACTATAATTGTTTAAATTAAAATAACTGGAAAAATTTTATAACTGATTTTCCAAGAGCCAGAGGCGATATTAAAATAAATTCCGTATACAGTATTATTATCTTAGTATTCAAGAAATGTTGTGTGGTGAATTCGTATGAAACCTTTATTTTTCCCTTACTTCACTGATTAGGTTTATACGAGCTCAATCAAAATTTAATTGTAATTTTATTTGAAAATTGCTTTATTAAATTCTGCAACTGTTCAATTCCGAGAAATTTCCCCGTAGTGTGGAATATATGTAATGAATGCACCACCTTTGTCCAACATTAAACTAAGGCAAAAGTAATGACCTGCCTCACTAACGAAGCAACTTATCAATTTGCAGGTTGGCAACTGGCTTAACTACCGAATGCCGGTCAGCAAGTTAGTTGGAAAGTTGAATGTAAATATGATTTGAACGAATGTGAGTCAGTATGTACGTGTGAAAAGGAAAATAGTGAAAAAAATAAAATTAAATAAAATAGAATGAAATAAAATAAAATAATATAAATAAGATAAACTAATATATAATATATTAAATGATATAAACTAAAATAAAATGAAAATAAAATAAATTAAATTAAAATGAAAACAATTGAAAAAATAAAAAACAAAAAAATACCATAAAATAAAATTCAATAAAATAAAATACAATAAAATAAAGTAAAATAAATATACTAATATACGTATATTAAAATAATATCAACTATATAGAAATAGGTCCATTTGTTGGAATAACATCAAGACGCAAAACAACAAATTGAAGGAGGAGCTTAGCCCGAAAAACACTTCAGCGATTACAAAGCGCCGATTATATATATATATATATATATATATATATATATATATATATAGAAATATAATAATATAAAATAAAATGAAAAAAGTAAAACAAAATGAATTGAATTAAAATAAAATAATAACAGCTAAAGTAAATAAAAAATAAAATACATTAAAATAATTATATTCAAATAAAATAAAATAAAATATATAGAAATATAATAATACAAGAAAAAATGAAATGAAATAAAGTTAATTAAAATAAAACAATAAAATTAAAATAAAACAATAATTAAATATAATAAATTAAAGTAAGTTAAGTTAAATTAAGTTAAATTATTAAATAAAAGTAAAAACATGAAATAAAATTAATTAAAACAAAACGAGATAAAGTTAAATTAAAGTAAAAAAATAAAGTCAAATAAAAAAGTAAAAAAAAATTAAAGTAATTTAAATATTGTATAATATATTAAAAATAAAATTAAAACACTATTTTGGATGTTATTATGTCCTACAAGCAAACGTAACTTTTATTCACATAAAATCTTAAACATACCATCACTGATGATGATGATGGCAAGAGAATGTTTGCGGTAAATATTAACAACTTTTTAGTGAGAATATAAACGTGATGAGAATTCAAAGTAAAAACTCAAAGTTTGTTTAGAGTTGAATGTAAAGTGAAGGTGTTAAAATATGGAGCTTTCACAATTTTATATTTTACAAAGTTGAAAATAAAGTGAAAGTATAGAATGAGTTTTCAAATATATATAGATACATATAGAATATTTCATATGAGTAAAAACAAAATAAAATATTTTTGTCTGGTTAAGATTAAATTTTACTACAATACAATGCCAGAAAGTCATATTAGATATCGGTGACCAAGAGCCTACAGTTCATAATAAAAATAAAGATGGAAAATTTTCTAAAAAAAAAAAAAATTATAGTGCTTCAAATTTAATAACTTAATAACTTTTACGTTAAGCGGTTTTATTAAAATTGTTTTTTCCACTACGTAGCGCATTTACAACGATCACCTATGCCGATTATATTTAACTTCTACAAGCTTTAGCTTTTTCCCTTTTTTTGTTTTGTTTTCATACATACTGGGAAGTACACATAATTTTTCCGTTTGCTTTGCCTATTTACCTTTCTAATCATCATAGCCATCATACATCAACTACATTTCTTCTCTTAAGAATTTTAAAAAGTACATAAACGCACAAATTGAACAAAATAAAGAGAGAATTAAAAGAAACGCGAACGCAGTCCACAAAAAAATCTGTCCACACAGCAGAATATGAGTGTTTAACACAAATTTGGTAAATTAAGTACAAGTAATGGAATCTTTCAGAAAAGCCCAGAACCCAAGAATTGCTCAACTAGGCAATTTAGTGTTTGGTCAGTGGTCTAGTTGATCGAGTGTAGAAGTACTTGTGATCGTGATATTGTGAACAGATTTTGTTTTGTTTGCTTGAAGCACGTTCTAAAAGAAAACCGCGAGTATATAAACGTAAAACAAACGACAATCATTTGTGTACCTTAAATATGTAAATTAAAATGGAAATTAGGCAAAACTACGAGAACTCAGCTAAAATAAACTGGATTACGGTGTTCATCGTCATAATAGGTGCTGTAATGATTTATAAAAAATAATATATATATCAGCTTTTCACATTAGATCTTTTTGAAGGCATATGAATCAATCGTTGAAGCGACTTTCGGAAAGATAAAATAAAATGAATTAAAAAAATAAAATTAAATTAAATAAAATAAAACAAAATAAAACAAAATAAAATAAAATAAAATAAAATAGCATAAAACAAAATAAAATAATATAAAATAAAATAAAATAAAATAAAATAAAATAAAATAAAATAAAATAAAATAAAATAAAATAAAATAAAATAAAATAAAATAAAATAAAATAAAATAAAATAAAACAAAATAAAATTAAAATAAATTAAATTAAATTAAATTAAATTAAAATAAATTAAATAAAATGAAATAAAATAAATTTAAAAAAACATTACTTTTGTTTCTTTTTTGTTTTTTTTTTTGCGGGGCATCGATGGTGGGTGGTACGTAACTAAAAATCTCTCCTCTAAGGAATCGTCCCCCATCCTAGTACCGCCACCTATTTTTTCGCTTAAACCGCGTTCAATAATACATATAGATACATATAAAATACATGTTGTATATTAAAGCGGGGTACTTTTTTCATATGAGTAAACTGAAGGACTGAGACGATGTTATCTGCTCTTAGTGGTTCGACCGTGCTTTCGAGCTGACTATGCTCAGCTTGCTACCGTGTGCATTTGAAGTATGTGTGGTAGGCGTTATCTTCGTTAGCATCGATATATATACATCGCGGCCGCTTAGCCCATTTAGTGTAAATATTTCTGGAAGTAATATCCGTGCCCGGGTAGCATCTGTGGGACGTAGAACTCCACCTCTCCGAATTATCTGTTAGTCCATACTTGAACATCTGTTACCTGTCCAATGGCCTGGATTTCGGATTCTCATCGGGTGTCCTATGATTAGATACGTGGGTATATTGAATTTCTAAAGCTTCAATTATATCCTTCCATTCAGCGCTTCTGAAGGCATTTCGGATATCTAGTGTGACGTATTGTTCTTCTATATGCTTAGATTTGTAGTTTGCTCTTTGACCTTCATCGACGCCCTTGCTTACATTTTCAATTGTGCCTAAAATTTAACTGTAGTGCCTTTAAGCAAATTGTGTTGGTGGGAGGCTGCCAGTGGCGGTAATGGCTGCTTCCAGTCTCGACTTAAGCAGTCGTTCTAGGAGTTTTTCCACAGTATCAAGCATCATTCTTCCCCTTTACTAATAAGAACTAACTTCGGTATTTTCCAGACTCTTTTGGAATGGACCGGAGTTGAAGCAGGAATTATACATGCCCAAAGGTATTTTAGGACGGCTCGCTGCAAAGCTTTCAGCGCCCTTGCGAATCCGAACAGAGTTTTTAGTCAGCCTAAGTTTACATAGCTCAGATATAGCGATGCAGTGTCATCTCCTTTTCATGATAAGCAACTTCTATTCCAAATTTAACATTTTTTTTCTGGTATTGTCTTTTCTAAAACTGATTGCTTATTTTCAGTTCTGCAAAACGTCGTATACATTTATGCAAAATTATCAACTGATAATTCAACAGCATTCACCGAGGCGTTGAGCAACAACTTGTCGCCTTACCATGAGAATCCATTTAACAGTCATCGTAACGGCAATGAAGTCAACGCCATAGATGTGTGGCTAACGAGTGATGTTAACCCAAATGATGAGTCGTTTAACAAGTTTAATGGCAATAGAGATGACGAACAACTGTCCGAAGGAGAGCGAGCGGCGCACGAGAGCAAGAATGGTGTAACAGAAATGATGGCAAAAGAAAAAGGATATTTGCAGAGTGGCAACACAAGCAAAAGCAAACAACAACTACTCACAGTATTACAGCAAAACAAATGTAATGGGAATGCTAAAACCACAACAACAAAAACAACAACAACAACAATCAAGAATAAAAAACAAGCAAACACTTTGAGTGACAAAGCCACTACGACGCCGAGGACGCTGACGACGATGGTGACGAAAAAGAATGCGGGCATGTTGACAGCTTTGTCAATGCGGGTCAACAAAAATGATTTCGACAAAGTGGATGGTCGGATAAATGTGACGAGCAGAAATCACACTGAAGCGGCGGCAGCGAGGAAAGTAAAGACAGCAACAGCAACTGTGAAAACAAAGCAACCTACGCCAACAACAACAACAACAGCAAATTTTAAACGAAATTCCATTACCAGCAACAATGGTAGTGGAATTACAGCAAAGGGTGTGGGCTCCAGTGTCAACACAAGGCTCTACTACCACACCAATGGTTTTCTGAATCCATTCGGACAATTAGTCGCCTTCTTTGGCAGCGACCAATTGCATCTGCAGGACTATACCTTCTTTTTCAATGCCGAACGACATACCGTTTTCCATTTACATACGTCCAACAACTATTATAACGGTATTACGGATAAATCTAGTAGCCGCTTTTCTACAGTGTGGCCAACATTCGCCGAAACGGTAGCTGCCGGCAGTGAGCGTATATTGAATGTGGTCACAGATCCTATTGGCGCAGTGTTTGCTGTAAATACACCGACAACAATAAAAACAAAAACATCAACAACATCATCATCGGCAGTGAGCACAAAAAACACAGTGTCGAATAGAACAGGAATAACGAGCGCCTTCACAACTACTACCGCCTACACAGCACCACCGTCGCTACCGCCGCCAGCAACGATCAAAGTCGAAGAGGTGCAGCTGTACAATGGCCAATCCTTGCGACAGTCACGTTTCAATCCTTTCAATCCCACACGGTAAGTGATGACCGTTAAAAGTGCTTTAGGCAAAAATGAATTTTGTGTGTCAGACGGACAGATCGAGCGGGTGCATATGGGGGTGGACAGTGTTGTGAAATGCTAAATTTGCAACTCAAGTGTCCATGTGTAGAGAGTCGGTGCGATGGTAGGATGTAGTGTTGTTATACAGAAGATTTGCTACATTTTCCAAATTCGATTTGTGTCGAAACGTGTTTGGAATACTGACTGATTTTTCCTCTTCCATGCTTGTACTCTTTGTATGTCATAGGGGCACTAGTTGCTGAGATAATGCTAGTGGGTCATCACTTCCCTCGTCGACTTACTCGTTTGGTCACATTTAACTGTTGTGCTTTGTTTGTTTTGTCGTGCGTCTCACAACACATCATTACATCTCAAAGGCAACCGATTCAGATGCAATGGTGCTGTGCTTAATTTGATTAGCAAGGAATTTGTTTTCATTTTTGGAAGAGAACTAAAGTTCAGTGGTGATTGTTGGCTGGTTAGAGCTTAATTACAGAGCATAAAATGAGCTCTTCCATTGCGACGTGATACGAAGAAGACACATAAAGCAAATGCACGTTGGAATATTTGTATAGAGTCATTGGTTTCTTAATTGACTTTTGTTGTTTCAATGAAAAATCCAATATTCGTTCTTTTACTGGTTAAAGGAATGAGTACAAATCTGACATAAAATCAAAGTTCCAAAAAATAAAAATTTTAAACTGTGTTTTTTCACATGAAATTTTTGATGATTTTGGTTTGGTCCACATGTGCCGTTCTGACTTTACATACCTACCTTTGTTTTCATTTAGGCGACTGTATAACTAAGTGAAATATTGGTTGACTCAAAGCAAACGTTATTACATACAGCAAAGTCTGAACAAACTCATTATCCACTATCCAAACTTGTCTTCGGCCACAAGAACCATCCTACATAGTGCCGAATTGCCTGTGAAAAAACTGTAAAATCGATCAGAAAGACCGGATTCTAGAGAGGAATTCACCCTAAGTGAGCACGACGTGGTATCTTAAGAGAGCAACCCAAGTTATGAATCATCAATAACCTTTTGATACATATCAGTAGAAAAAAAAGGCTGTGGTTTTTGGGTCTATATTAAAAAACTGGATTTCTGTTTTGCCTGATATAAAAATTTCTTTTGGTCCTTCTTATGATCCTTTAGTTAATCGTGATAAGGATCTCTTACCACCAATACATAAAGCTAAGTCTGACAAAATTTTTTCCAACTCGAAAACAACACTGAAAATTCAAGCTTTTTATCATTCGAAAGAACATTCTTTTGCATTTATTTTTTGAAGCTTATCTTTTTTCAAATGCTGGCCGCGGCTACGTCTCAGATGATATTTCCGTTGAGTCCGATTCGCGATGACTTGCTTGAGCATTTTGACTGGTAACTGGCGCATGACGCCTCTGGTATTTTGCTCCAAGGCTTGAATCGTAATGGTATTGTTCCCATAGATTTAAGACTTTACATATTCCCACAGAAAAAAGTCTAACGGTGACTTCTTGGTGGCCAATCGACCCGCTCAAAATGTGAAATGTGAAAAAAACCTTTTAAGTGTCGAACGGGACATCTAGTCATGCTCTGCTCTGCTAAGCTTTACATGTTTTTAATAATAATATAATGTTTAAAACCACAGTGAAAGCATTTACATAGAACTAACTTAAGGAGAAAAAGATTTCGCCTTGAATGTCTTCGCTGACGTGAGGCATGCGAAAAACTCTTGGGTGTATTTTGGTTCGAAAGAGACCTTGATGAATCACAATTAACAACACGGAAACCACTTTTTCGCTGGTTTCGAGACCTATGCAAGCTTTTGCCCTGCTTAAACCAAACAAAGTCCTCTGCAGGTTGCCTGTGGTTGGATCCAAACTGACTTCGTCGTCTTAAACAATTCACGCGCAAACGATTCTAGCTCTAATAAATTTTCTCTGTCGACCCGGAGCCTTAGGCTCGCACCCTCTCTACCGGAGGGCGATCTCACGATCTGCTTTCTATAATCTGGAATCTTGTCTTGGCAAAATAGTGTAAATTTGTGTTTTCTTCAGAGTTAATCAGTTCACTGCGTAAGAAATTCGAAAAGCTATTAGGTGTAATTGTTTGTGGAAGTCTCTTTGATTATGTAGGAACTCTATGTCCTCTCTTTTGTTAACTTTATTTCTTTATGTTTAACTGATTATTATCATTATCCACTTTTCTTCCGAACAGCATACTCGTTCACGGTTGGTTTGGCGGTGCCAATGCTGGAGTCTATCAGACGCTTGTACCAGCTTATCTACGTCAATATGCGGGTAATTATAATGTCTTCACCGTGGACTGGGGCCGTGGTGCCGTAACAGATTATCTCACTGCTAGCTATCGTGTCAAGCCGGTGGGTAAAGTATTGGCGAAATTCATCGATTTTCTACAACGTGAAGCCGGCATACGTTATGAGGATCTGCATGTGATCGGCTTTAGCATGGGTGCACATATTGCCGGCATAGCTGGCAAACATGTACAAACCGGACGTTTGCCGGTGATTTATGCGCTCGATCCAGCGTTGCCATTTTTCCGTTATGAAAATTTTGACGAACGCGTAGCGATCACCGATGCCGATTATGTTGAGGTCGTGCACACGAGTGTCGGCTCGTATGGCTATGACCGGCCGTTGGGTCATGTGGATTTCTATGTGAATTATGGTAGTGCACAGCCGGGATGTTTTCTTAACGAGTGCAGTCACTTTCGTGCTTTTCAAATATTCGCTGAGTCATTGCAGGCGAAGGACGGATTCCAGGCGGAGGGTTGTGATGTGAAACTCTGGCCGGATTTGATTAAGCATAGACGTTGTCTAATGGGCACAGGTAGGCGTATGCGGCTGGGTGGTGATCCGGTGAATGTGACGGCGCTACGTGGACGTGGTGGGGTGTTCTACTTGGCGACCAATGCGGTGCCGCCTTATGCAAGGGATGTGACGTAGCGAGATGATTATTACTTGGCATGATGTACGGTTCGTGGAAAAAAAAGAAATTGAAAAAATAAAAGTGCACAAAATGTCGTGTGTTTGGCAAATTAAAAATCGCAATGAGCACGAAAATGAATGTGAAACCGTTAACTTTTTTACACTGTTTTCGAGTAAGAATAGTAATAATTAGTAAGCGCGATTTTTTGCGTTGCCTTTTTTTGTATTTTTTTTTTACTTTTTTTTTTTTGTTTGCTTACGAGGCGCCAGAATCCTTTGATTTTGCTTCTGCATTGCATTGAGAGAGAGTGCAGTTATTTTTTACATTCTCCTCCAAGCGCCTATTTGTATGCAATGGCCTTTTTTAATGTGAGAATGAGATGAAAAAAATATTGAAATGGAAATTAAAAAACGCTGCCATGTGTGAAATTCATTCACAAAAGCGCATTTAAACCCCACATTTGTAGCGCTTCATGAGCCTTTTGACTCCGAATGGCATTTTTTGCACGGAACTTTGTTTTTTTTTTTTGTATTATTTTTCACTTGCTCTTTCATTTCTGTGCTTCTTATGCATTGCCAAAAGTGAAAGTGCGCATTGATTGTCAAAAAAAAATGAAGAAATTATAATAATAATAACAGTAAAAAAACACATTTTCATCTGAATATGTGTCATGCGCCCACACAGCTGTTGCATAACTTTCCGTTTTGTTGTTTTGAAAATGGCTTGCTTTAAAATTTTGGTTTTAAAAATTCAACAAATATAGTTTATGACCGATATTTGCAGTAAAATGCGCCTAAAACTATGCCCAATCTATGTAATTATATATGTATACTTGACTAGAACGTTTAAAATTATTATTATCAAAGTCCTGATATAATTTTGAGGCGCAGTACTTCTCATATTTGAAGGATCAACCGCAAGATCCAGAAGAAGAAAGGAAACGGAGTGCGGGAGCATGGAAAGCGATTAAGGCTGATGTTAGGAAATTCAATAAGAGTATGTCACAGCTGGCCTATGCCGATGATTTTGACATAATTGTTCTGAAGAACCCCGTTAAATATTGTGCTACCTCCGAACAGCACAAATAAGCGAGGCGAATATGAACGAGAGCGTTGATCAATGATCTTCGATTACCCATCAAACAGTCATCGCGTATTGGGTCTCGTCCCATAACTTTGAAGAGGTAGAGCCTGGTACCAGTATCAACCCTCATCACCATCTCAGCCTTGAAGTGCTGCTTAAGACTGAGTACACAATTGAAAAGTAAAGCTCGCTCTCGACAGTCAAAACAAAACCAAAACTTTACAAGTCGCTCATTCCCGTTTTGCTATATGGTGCAAATGCGTAGACGTTGTACACAGTACACGCTGGTGGAGACGGCGAGAAGGACATGGCTGTAATTGGTATTATTTTTTATATCAATTGGCGCCTAGCAGGGAAAGTAAGAAGAAACATATGCGTTATTGAGCAGGCTTAGCGCACGGTAATTGGCGTAGACTGCGGGCCCTTTTTTTTATGGATTCGACAGAGAATACTTTGTTTTCAGTCGTAGGGCGGGCTTTGAGTAGTTGTCCTGGCAATCCATCAGCCGCCGCCGTTTTTTTGTTTTTTCAAGCGGGCGAGTAGTATTCAAACTTCTTCATAGCTTTGCAAGGAAGGAAACATTTGCTCCATCGCTATCGATTGGCGAAAGGGATTCGCCATCTCATGATGTTCTATTTTCGCTGCCAGACTGAAGAAGCGTCCCTTCCTAAGATTCAGTAGCTCGGTCACCTCTCTGGGCTCTACTAGAGTTTCCGGCCTTGAAACCTTCTGTAAGTCAATATATCTTTTCGTAAAATTATCACGGCTTCATTATTTTGTTTGGTTACATATAAATCTTACTTCCTCTTCAATTCCCGGAATCCTAAACCGCACGTGTAGTGGTCGTCCGCAACGTTGCGAGGTGGATAGCCTGTTTTCTCTCTACACGGCAGTTCGCATCGTACCAGCTGTTTTTACGAGACTTTCATCCATCGGGGGGAATGCCAGTACTCGGCGGCAGAGTCTATCTCGCCACAAATCCGACACCGAATTTGCGCCGCTGTAGTAAATATCACAGGGACTACTTGCTTTCTTTTTGTCCCCTTCATTGGACGGCGGTGATATCAGCACTTAGTTAAGCGAGGACATAAACCAGCTGGGCAGCGGCATCTTTCGAATTAAGAAACCGGGCGGAGGCTCTCAAATTGTGATCCTTGAAATATTTGCGGGGGTCGTCAACAGCAAGGGGGTTGTTGAAATTTTAATTGAAGCTGGTTTCTAAATGGCGGGTCCCAAACCCAGCGCACAACACACACACTTAAATATAGCGAGCCGCTTGATTCAAGACCGACGCCCGCCCGAAACAGCAACTCTCATGCACAGATACTGCAATTAGACTTCAGGGGACCCTTAAACTGAATAAGTCCGAGTGATTCCTCTCTTTTAGCCGTGACTCATGGCTCCACAAGGGTTGGTTACCGCATCTTACACGAGGGTTGCTTACGTTGTAGGAATTGAGTGTAACTGCATACCCCTTTACACCTAATTTTGATTGAATAACTTATCATGCGTTTTCTAATTGGCAACAAGAAAAAAAGTAGAATAAAAAATAGTTCGGAAAATATTACTGAGCCCATAAACGCCAGCTTAAGTAAGTTTAAAACAGATTAACAGCTGATTAAGAAAAGAAGATTACGAGAAAACTGAAAAACCATGGGAAAAAATTTATTCGCTTCTGTTCTGACAGCCACTAAGAGCGGAGAATGTTAACTGAATAACTTTGGATGGTTTTGGTTTTGACCTATTTTATGCTCAGCAAGGGTGGATGTACATTGCGCGAGAGAGCGCCTGAATGAGTGTGTGTTGTATAATGGAACACGCTTTCATGGGGAAAAAATAGTTTAAAAATGTTTTGAAATTGAAAATTTATTTTCATTATTTTTCTAAAAATAAAAAAGAATAAAAATTTAAATATATATGTATAAATGTACATTGCTAAATAAAATACGCATTATTCTCCAGAACAATGTCAGCAACTTTGAGCAAAGTTAAGAAACTACTTTGAGGTTGTGAAAAAGTTTCTTATTCGGATTTTGTTTTGATTTGTTGTTGACATTAATAACTATTTTGCACACTGCAATAAAGTTTTACACAAATTCTTGATTATGGAATATTTAATTAAGGAATTCATGAGAATTCCTAAAAGTTTTTTTTTTGGCTTTTTCTTTGGTTTGATTATTGATTGAATTTACGTTTCATATGTATGTATGCACTGCTCCTTTCCTACTCTCTCTTTTCTTTTTCTTCTCCTCCGCTCATTTACGGTATAATTGAGTTTTCTGTGATTTCCATATTTACATTGCACTTTTGTTGATTAAAGTTTATTGTAGATTTCTTTGCGTATCAGATTTGAATCAATCGAGCGTAAAATTCGTATTTGCACAAACACACGCGCACATACGTATATGTATGTATGTGTGCAGGATAAAAAATGTTTTATGAATAATTTTGAGAAATCAATGTTTAATTAAATTTTTGGTGAATTCCAATTGCAGTTTAAATTGTTTAATTCCTCTGCCATTCCACTTCTTATCAGTGATTACTTAATTGCTTTGTGCTGTGAAAATTAGTTAAATTTCTCAGCCGTTGAATAATAATTAAAAATAAAAAGGTAGAGCTTTCTGCGGCCATGAAGAAGCTATTTTTTACATTTCACTAGCATATCAAATTTATTGGTATTTCATTTGAGTGTCAAATAGTAATTCTCATATCTGAACAAAATCGTTGTATGGGGATCTACGAGGTGTGTTCAAAAAGTATCGCGAATTTTGAATTTCCGCGGGTTACGTTTAATCGAATTCCGAGTTTTTTGTGGCGTTATGTTGGTGCACATGTCTGTCACTTATGCCGACAAGCTCGGCCATTTTGAATGTTCACTTAATTGTTGACAGCTGCTTTGCTTGCACATGTTTTGGATGGCCTTCGATTTTTACCTATTCAAAAAAATAGATCAAAGAACCTGTATGAAATTTTGTGTGAAAAACGAAATTAAGTGCGCGGATGTACTCCGAATGTTGACTGTGGCATACGGAGAAGCTACCTTGGACCGAAGCGTGACTTTTTCTTGTTCCCTAAACTGTAGATGCCCATGGAAGGACGACGTTACGCTACAATTGACGAGATAAAGACGGCAACGAAGGAGGAGCTGAACAAGATAAAAAAAAAATGATTTTTTGAAGTGCTTCGAAGATTGGAAAAACCGTTGGTACAAGTGTATAATATCTCATGGGGATTACTTTGAAGGTATATTTAACACTCAAAGTCTGATTTCTGAACAAATCGGAGTGTGTGAGCTACATGTTATACAGGGTTTTCCAATAAGCGGTATTATTTTGATATTCAAAGAAAAAAATGAAATTTTGAGATAAATGATCGAATTTTTATTTCAATGTAAAAAGGAAGATTTTAGACATTTATAATGGAAAACAATATCAGCCAAATGACCGTCACGGCTACGCTTATAGGACTGTAACCTTTTAAGGAAATTTTCTATCACCAAATCGCAAAGTGACTGCTATATGCCCTCACAAACTTTACGAACTCCATCGTTGAGGCCTTGAATCGACCTTATCTTTCACGTAACCCTAAAGGAAGAAAACGCAAGGTGTTAAATCACAAGAAATCGGTGGCGAATTGCGATCACCTCTGCGAAAAGTAACACAGTCCAGAAACTTTTCTCTTTCTCTTTGGTTTCGTTGCTTGTGTGTCACGTAGCACCGATTTGTTGAAACAAACGTTGTCTAGATTAATATTGTACCATCTGTAAATCAGCTCCAGACTCATTTTCGAAAAAGTAAGGTCCAACGACCCCACTCAAAACCGCACTAAATCGTTGCACGTTGAGGATAGAGAGGATTTTCAACAACAAAACTCGGGTTTTCAGAGCTATAGATGCGATAATTTTGCTTATTGACGATCTCGGTGGAAATGGGACTAATCAGTCAAGGTTGTTTTTTCGTTGATTTTACGTTTCATTTTCATGCATTTTAAGGACAACATCAGCAAAGACACGACGTTTTTGATGCTCGACCGGCTTGAGTTCTTCTATTAATTGAAC